CTGACATTGTTGCTTCTGTGACAGCTGTGCTTGTTTCTGGATTGTCAGTCTTGCGACTGGTCTCATCTTGGCCAGTCTCTGTAATGGCTGTTTCTGTCACAGTTGAAGTTCTCTCTGGATTGTCACTTTTATCAGCTACATCAGGACTTGTGTATTCTGAATTTGTTGCTGACATTGTTGCTTCTGTGACAGCTGTGCTTGTTTCTGGATTGTCACTCTTGCGACTGGTCTCATCTTGGCCAGTCTCTGTAATGGCTGTTTCTGTCACAGTTGAAGTTCTCTCTGGATTGTCACTTTTATCAGTTATGCTAAGCCTATTTGTGTTATCTGAATTTGTTGGTGTCTGCCCTGTGTCTGTGACAGAAGTGCTTGTTTCTGGATTGTCAGTTTTGTGCCTGGTCTCATCTTGACCAGACTTTGTGATTGCTCTTGTCACTGCAGTAGTTTGGTCTGATTTGTCACTGTTATCAACTCCATTGGGATTGGTCCTGTCATTCATACTAGTTGTGAAAATTGTTGATTCTGTCACTGCTGACATTTTGTCTGGATTGTTCCTTTTATCAATTCCATCAGGACCAGTTCTGTGTCCTGAATTTTTTGGTGTTCTTCCTATCTCGGTGACAGGATTGTTTGTTTCTAGATTGTCATTTTTATTACTTGTCTCAAATGGACCAGTCTGTGTAATTGAGGTCTTTGTCACTGCAGTAGTTCGATGTGAATTGTCATTTTTATCAACTACATGAGGTCTGGTTGTTTCATGTGAATTAGTTAGTGACATTGTTGTCTCTGTGACAGACATGCTTGTATCTAGATTGTCCGTTTTATGACTGGACTCATCTTGTCCAGTCTGTGTAATTGCTGTTTCTGTCACTGCTGAAGGTGTGTCTGGATTGTCACTTTTATCAACTGCATCAAGACTAGTTCTTTCATTTGGAGTAGTTGGCGTAATTGTTTCTTCAGTCACTGCAGAAGTTCTATCTAGATTATCATTTTTATCAATTCCAACTGGATCAGTTGTGTAATCTGAATTTGTTGGTTTCCTTGTTGTCTCTCTGACTGTAATATTTCTTTCTACACTGTCATTTTTATGACTTTTTTTACTTTGACTAGTCTGTTTATTTGTGGTGTCCATTGTTGGAGTAGTTTTCTCTGGATTGTCTCTTTTATCATGTTCATCAGAAGTTGTTGGTGTTGTGTCTGCTCTTCTGTTTGCATGTTTAATATCTGTTGTTACAGTCCCTTTTCTTGCAGTAGTTATATCTTTTGTATTAGTTTCATCCATTGTCGTATTTGTTTTCATTGTTGCTGTAACTTTGTCATATAAACTAGGTTCGTTCTTATCATCTCTTGACATTGCTACAGTAGTAGTAGCTCTGTTAGACATCCTTGTTATTGCTTTAAGTGTGGAAGGCATGGGGTTTGAAGAAATAACATTTTCATGTTTCTTCATAGTTACCATAGTTTCAGCAGGCAATGATATTCTACTGGTTTTAGAAGCAGCACTAGATTGCAAACCTAATGGTTTTGTGGTAGTAATTTTGAAGAGTGAAATAACATGCTCAGAATGGGGATTTGGGAAATAGCTAACATAATCACCCAGAGTTGTTGTAATACCTTTATTTCCTTGGGTTGAGGGCTCTGTAGTACTCTGCTTTGTAGACGTAGATGGCAGCTTCACAGTAGTTGTGGTATAGGATGGATTTGTGGTACTTGTGGTGGTTGGCTTATTTGTGGTGGCGATGGTGGTAGTTGTGGGTGGCAGTTTTGTTGTTGCTGTGATTGGTGGCAGCTTTGTGGTGGTACTTGTAGTGGATGGCAGCTTTGTGGTGGTGGTGGTAGTAGATGGAAGTGTGGTGCTGGTGGATGGCAGCTTTGTTGTCATTATTGTGGTGGGTAGTGGCTTTATAGCAGCAGTAGTGGATGTTAGCTTTGTTGTGGTTGTGGCTGTGGTAGAAGCCATTTTTTTTATAGTTGTAACAGATGGCTGCCTTGTGGTTGTGGTTGGAAGCTGTGTTGTTGTTGTGGATGACGTAGATGGCTGACTTGTGCTTGTGGTGGATGGCATCTTTGTTGTGGCTGTGGTGGATGGCATCTTT